ATTTTAACTTAAAATTTAGGTTGAAACAAAAACATAGGTTTAAAACCGAACCATTTATGCTAAAAAACACCACTTTTCTTTTTTAAATCGCAAACTAAAATTTAAACTTTAATCATATATCGTTAATAAAATAAATAGAAAAATACTAAGTTACTTATATGTTAGAACGTCAGACACCTTTATTTATCTATCTATCTATCAGACCCGACACTTTAAACCTATGATAAGAGAGAAACTGTAAGAAAACAAAGGAAATAATATATATATATGGTTAACAAAATAATCGGTTTTGGGCATGAGTCGATTCGGGAGGGGCGAGTACCGGAACCGACCCAATTATTTATTTCAACATAATCATGGAGCCGGATTCTTTATAAATGGTTGGGTCGATTCGGGCCTGCCGGGTAGACCTGAACCGTTGACAGCCCCTTCAAGAGCATGAACGATGATAGCGATTGTGCTGCAGCAAGGTTGGTATCCCTTTGCCTTCTCCCTTCGGACCTGTACTTCGAGGTAAGGACCTTTCAAAACCGCACTCGATGTTAGTACCTTTGTTATTGAGGCATAAGATTTTGTCCTGCGAAGTTGGTTTTGGATTTTCACGAATTAATAAATTCTGCTAATGCAATTTCTGCCTTGTCATTGCAAGAACGTTCTAATGGGTTCGGATTGTCAACTGTCGTATCAGAATGACTGTCATAGGGTAAGCCACCATTGGTTATATCTGTTGGAACTTTTTATAAGGGCTTCTCTTGCTTTATTCCCGTTTTTTGTGGTTGTAACATATTTTACCCTTTGCTTCTACAGGCATCGCCACTTCCATGAGATTGCGTCACTGGAGCAGATTCAAATGTTCGAATTGGAGCAGTAGTCCGCCGAGGCCTTGCATACGCTGGAGTCCAGAATAAGCCACTCTGACCCTCTTCTTCTTAATTCACTTGTAAACTATTTCTCGTCCACCTGTTGCTGATTAGATATTCTTGACAGGTGAAGGGCGTGAGCGCAAAGGAGACTCGGAAGCGATACGGATGCAGAAGCTGTACAGGTATGCGTTTTTTGTACAATGTCTGCATACCTAAATTATATCATTTTTGGAAGACAAGGTCTGTCGGTCGTGGCAGTGGCTATAATATTCTTGGGTCTTATGGGTGCAGGCACGGAGAATGCTCGACTTGCAGGCAAGCTCTGCAAGGTCTCACGGGTTTACTATGAGGAAGTTGGTCCAATCTTCCGTGTAAGCTTCTCTACTCTCCACTTCATTCTGTGTCCTCTTTTGGGTGTATGGCTTTCTAATTCGCTCTGGTTAAATGTGTAGTTTTGGACTCCTCGAGGCGTTGCTACTTTTGGGGAGGGCATTTCGACTATATCGCGCCATACTATTGTTTGGGTTTGGACCTCCCCAATTCCACTTGATGGTGCTGAGTAAACTCTAGCCAGGCTCAAGCCCACCCTTGATCCATTACCCCTAATCAAGCCCGAGCCCAACATAGTCTAGCCCTCTTTGTAACCCAACCCATCAAAGACCTAACTATTCA